CTACCATGCGCAAAAACCCTGTGGTGTAGCTGTAGCCCGTGTGATTTCACTTGGCCACCACTTAAATCCTACTTTTTAATAATTAATAAAAATGTTTATTACCAAGCCCAGTCTAAAAAAATGGTCACCTGGGGGAAGCAACCACTGTGCGCCTCTCTCTCATCGATAAAGGGGGCAAACTTATAAGCTTTCTCTGTGTCAAACTTTCACCTAGAGTAAGATGGATTTAGTTGGAGGCTTGGCCCTCTTTTGGGGTCTGTCAGCAGCCTTATAGCTGAGCCTTCCCAGAGCTGAGCTGAGCTGGTGTCTGTATTGCTCTGCAGGGGCGCAGTTACCCCAACTCTATGCCTTGGCAGGAGAGACTAGAGCTTCCGACCCAGCAGGTCAGGGTGGTGAGGCACCTCAGAGGGCAGGCTGGCAGGCTCAAAGGCATGATCTGCCCACTAGGGAATACCCCCATGGGGAAAAATCGCTGTGATCCAATGCATTACAAGCTCAAATCACTACATGGCAAGGGTTCTAATCCTTTACTCACCCCCACGGCCTCCGCACCCTTCATTAACCCCGGACACCTGTTCTCCATGCAGTACCCCAGCACGGGCCACCCCAGGGCCAAACCCCGGAGCGAAATAGCCTCTCCTGCTACTTGAGAGTCCCCTGCTTCTAGGTCCCAAGTTTGCCTGGGGCTGTTCGTACACTGTCTGGCTGGGAGTGGCCTCCCCCCCACCACTCCCAGTTTCTTTTCGCTCCAGAGCTACAGCGCCCCAGCCCCTGTTCTTAGCTGTAGACCTCTGAGCACACACACAGGGCTCAGTTTACCCAGCCACGCAGCTAGCTCTGGCTCCGTGACCTGCCTTCTTCATTAGTTACCACTCTGCTTGAGCCCTGGGACTTTATCAGCGCCACAGCGAAGGGGGCAGATGGATTTCAGCATGACTCAGGCCTGCCTGGAAGGAAGAGCTGAGTAAAGGCTGCGGGGGTTAAGGCAGGGAGCCATTGCTCTGCTACACTCACTGGAAGGAACTGAGCTCACGGCCCATTCTTTAGATTTCTGGTCAGCACCTGGCGTTGAAGGCCAACCCCGGCCATTTCAGACGGTCACACGTGATGTCAGCCTGCAGCCAGCTTGCTACGCTCACCAGAGCCTGGATTGACTCACTGTGTGCGGATCAGAATTCACCCGAAGTGCACCATCGATGGCTAGAGGGGGCAAGCTTAGTAGCCCAGCATCACCGAGGTGTGGGGGAGTCTGCACCCCCGCTCCCCTATCTGCAGGCAGATGGAACCCTCAGCCAGCAGGTGGAACAGAAATTTGATTAGGCAACAGGGACGCAGCATGGACAGATGGGGCAGCATAGTAGCCAAAAGAAGTCAGTACAACCCAGCTCTGAGAGGAAGGGGGGGTGTAGAGCCAGGGCCCTGGCCCTCCCCCGGCACCGCAAACCAGACGAGACTAACTCACACAGCCAGCAGCCTGCCCCCCACCCCTTAGCCAGGCTCCGTCTTGCTTCCCAGGCAAAAGGTGACACCTGGCCACACCTCCGCCCGGCTCAGCTTACAGAGGGCATCGGCCATCGTGTAGGTGTGGGAGGCGAATCCCACCGAAATGCCCATCAGCATCTAGGATGGTGGACTCCAGCCTTTTTAATCACAAGAGCGCTTTTTCAATGTAAGATCTACCTCAACCCCAAATCCCCTTGCCCCACTTCCTTCCCGCCCCTTCTCTGAGGCTCCGCCCCTTCTTCAAGGCCTCACCCTGCTCACTCCATCTCCCTTCCTCCCTCTCTTTCACCAGGCTAGAGCAGGGGGTTGGGGTGCAGGCTCTGGTCATAGGCCAAGGGGTTCACAGTGTGGGAAGGGCTCCAGGCTTAGCCCAGGGTGGGGGATTAGGGTCCAGGAGGGATTTCAGGGTGCAAGCTCTGGGAAGGAGTTTGGGCAGGAGGAGGTTCAGGGCTGGGCCAGGGGTTCTGGCTGGGCACCATTTAACGGAGATGGCTTCTGGGTGGCAGAGCAGTGGGGTTAAGGCAGGCTTACTTCTGCCCTGGCCCTGTCCTGAAAACAGCTGGCATGCATAGCACCAGCTCCTTGGCACCATGTGCTGCCCTGCATGCACCGGCACTGAGTCCACAGCTTCTACTGGCCACGGTTCCCCATTACTCATCCATGGGAGCTGCCGGAGTGGTGGCTGTGGGCAAAGACAGCAATGTAGAGACCCCCTGCTCGGCCTCTCAGGGACATGCCTGCCCTTTCCAGGGGCAGCAATTACCACAGGGGTAATTACTCCCGCCATGGCTGGTTCACCATTTTAGAACTCACTACTCAAAGAATTGAGAGAGATGAAAATTATGAAATGCACAGACCAGTCCAAAACCAAAAATAACCCATTTTACCAGCAGTAAAAGTAGTAACAACCCTCCCCCCACACATACGTGTCAGGCGATGAGAGCAAAGGGCAGTGTGTGTGTGAGAGAGAGAATGACAGAAACACACAGAATGTGAGTGACAGATTTGCATTGCCAAGATCTCTCCCCTTCTCTCTGTGTGGAGATAGGGTACATGAGTGGGGGGACTTGGTCCTCAGAGCCCTGCCTCTTCTCCCTGCCACACCCTGCACAGCAAGCAGGTGGCTTCCGGGGGGGCATCTCCAAGGCAGAGGGCAGGAACAGCTTGGCAGCAGGCAGAGGGGCAACTAAAGGGCCAGCTCTTGATAGCTGCCCAGCCAAGCCAGTCAGGATCACCTGTCAGAGGCTCCAAGATCTACTGGTAGATCCCAATCTATTGGCTGGTGCTTGCTGTTCTAGAAACTGGTGCAGTGCCCAGGGAAACTGAGGCAGAGGGGGTTACGGCAGGACAGTGGAAAAGAGGGACCTTAGAATTTAACCCATAAGCGGGTGCTTATACAAGTTAACGGGATTAGTTAAAATCAGCTAGCTCAGCAGTACAGCCTGCGCCCTGGGATGCGGGCGGGCAAGGACTACCAGCTCCACTTGTAGGAAAGAGCCCACCCTGTGTGTAGCTACCAAGATTTTCAGCAGTTACCATATTAAGCGACACAACTTCCCTAGGAGAACACACACGCAACAGAAGAAGGGGAATAAAACCCCTACAGTCCTCACTTGGTCACACCAAAAAGCTGGGAGCCATGACCTGCGGTCCACCATACTAGACGCGCCCCATTAGAGAAAGCACCACACAGAGCAGTAGGTATTTTACATCCAAGTTTTACTCAACAAAACGTTACGTCTTCCCAGAGGAGCAGCTTCCCTTTACGCCGCTCTCGGCTCGGACTTTGTGCGCTGGGGTGAGGCAAGGACACAGAGCCTTGGTTTTGTTCCACTTGCAACGGAAGCCATCAGGACACCACAGTTCGACTGTTTTGTTTCACAGTTTGGGGGATGCAGGCTCAATTCACTGGAGTCTGCTCTCTCACTGCGGACAGCGGCCCACAACACTTCCAGCAGGGGAGGCCACGTGTGCAAAACAAAGTGACTTGGATTCCCCGCCTCCCCTCCCCTCTTTTTGAAATAAAGAAAAAAGTTTGGGGTGTTCATTGAAGTAAAATAGCCAATGACCTAAGCCAGTTCAGAGAGCACCCCACCACCCAGCTGTACCCCTCCCCGTCCTTCACCAGACCCCACTGCTGGTTCTGGGGCATCCTGCGGAAAGCCAGCTCGGAACAGCGTCATCGGCCTGAAGCCCCATCTGTGGGTCTAGGTCTCTGAAGCAGGCAGGTCGCTTACCTACAGCCTCCTCGCTCCCTTCCCCCCAGCCTGAGTCTGTGGGCAGCCCCCCAGGCTCACACTCCATAAGCCTAAGGGCTTCATTCCCAGCTGGTCTGAACCCATCCCAAGGGAGCGGCCGGGAAGTGAAGGTTCACATTTAACACTAGCCAACAGCTGACCAGAGCCAGGGAGAAACAGGCAGTTCGGGAGACAGTCGCTTTGTCTACAGCAGGTTAAAATAAAGTTAACCCCTGGAAAGCCGCCTCCCTGAAATGACACCACCTGGCACAGAGAACCAGGGCTGTAGCGACCCGGGGAAATCGCCTACACCTGCAAACCCTCTCAACCGGCACAGGGAACCGGGCTTCTAACTGCCGTGGGGCAACTGAAGTCAGGGAGACAGGTGCCAAAACCTGAGGTACAGCCTTGCCTTAGTGCATCAGGGTTTCCTCCCGCCAGCTGGCCTGGAGAAGCGACTGAATCATGCAGCTTTGGGTGGCATGAGCTAGCTGTTGGGATTATTTTGGCAGGGGACTCCCCTTCCCCTCCCCACCCCCCAAAAAAGACTTATGAGCAGGGCTAGCTGTATTGACTATTGGGATTATTTTGGCAGGGGACTCCTCTTCCCCTCCCCACCCCACCCCCCAAAAAAGACTTATGAGCAGGGCTAGCTGTATTGACTGACTGTCTCTTTTAGCTGCCACTTAAGTGCCTCCCCCAAATTAATTCACAGCAAGCTGCCCTGGGGAACTGCCGAACGCTTGCAGCTGCTTAAGACCTTGGAGACAAAGACGTTTCTCCCCACTTCCCCCAGGTGATGGAATTATTTGCATAGGCTGGGCCAGATTACCTCCCTGGTTAGGGATTAAAGCTTCTGCCTAGAGAGGTGCAGAGTCCGGGTTACAAAGCCCAGCCCAGGAAAGATGGAAGAAGGGAATGTCCCATGACATCTGCTCCCTTGCTGTTTTATGGCCATCATCCCACATCCCCTGCCCCAAAGGCTCAGTAGCTGGCCCACCCCAATGCAGAGCGCCTTGGATTGGAACACACCCCAGATCCCAGGTGGCTTCCCATTCAGCGGAAGGAGGGATTTTGTCTACACAGTTTAAAAGGACAAAGCAACAGCCCTCCTGGGACTGCAGCCAGAGACAGGCGAGTCTTGGTCCCTCGGCAACGTCAATGACAGTTGTTGGCGCTGGCGAATAACTCCCAACCCCCAACTCTTCCCGGAGCCCAAAGTACAGTTCCCCAGGAGACAGGCAAGTCTTGGTCCCTCGGCAACATCAATGACAGTCATTGGCGCTGGCGAATAACTCCCAACCCCCAACCCTTCCCGGAGCCCGAAGTACAGTTCCCCAGCAGAATGGTAAGAATCAGCCTGGCGCTGTAAACGGCAGCCAGCTGGCTACAACGCATCATGTGATTGAACCCAGGTTTGGCATCCTATGGCCTGGCCAGTCTGTGCACACCTGGAAGCACCTCAACAGCAGTCACACTTTAAATACAGACACACAACAGGCAGCAGAGAGCAGGAGGCACCTGCCAGTTAGCCAAAGTGGGTCTCCAGGGAGAGCTTTGTTTTTTTTAAAAGTCTCTCTAGCAATCAGGTTACGTGGCCAAGAGGCCCGTGGCACTCCCTTGGTTCTATGGCCTATGGACGCCCCTTCAGCGCTCTCTAGACATACTGCTTCTTGGAGGCAGAGCTGCTGGGCCGGCTGGACTGCCTCTCCTGCACGGGCTGGGTGGCCAGGGCGTAGCCATTTGAGGTGGGTTTGTTCCCATTGCGCAGCGCCAGGTTCTCCTCGGTGTTGAAGTTGGCCCAGTTCTGCTCGCTGGAGAGCTTGTTGTAGGTCAGGTAGGGAGGGGAGTGGCTGTCGCTCAGGGGGAGGTAGTGGCATGTCTTACTGTCTGGGAAGGGGTCCACATCCCCAGCTGGGCAGGGAGAGGAGGAAGAGGCCTTCCTTAGGCTGCTGAGCAGGTTTTTGCAGCAGAGGTGGAAGAGCTCCAGAAGGTTGAGGCCCAGGGAGATCAGCCCCACCACCATCATGAAGATGATGAAGATCGTCTTCTCCGTGGGGCGGGAGACAAAGCAGTCCACCTTGTGGGGGCAGGGGTCCCTCTCACACACAAAGATGGGCGGCATGAAGAAGCCATACAGGTACCACTGGCCTAAGAGGAAGCCGGCCTCGAAGATGCTCTTGCAGACCACGCTGATGACATAGGTCCACATCAGGGAGCCACGGATCTTGATGTGCCCGTCCTCTGCCACGCAGATCTTGTCCATCTTCTTCTGCACCGCCGCCAGCGCCTGCTCCGCCTTCACGTCTTTGACCTGCACCGCCCGGAGCTCGCTCTCCCGCTGCTTCAGCTTCTCCTCCCGCTGCGAGAGGTAGATGACATGGCCCAGGTAGACCAGGGTGGGGGTGCTGACGAAGAGGAACTGCAGCACCCAGTAGCGGATGTGGGAGATGGGGAAGGCTTTGTCGTAACACACGTTGACGCAGCCCGGCTGCTTGGTGTTGCATAGGAAGTCCGACTGCTCATCCCCCCACACCGACTCCCCGGCCAGCCCCAGGATGAGGATCCGGAAGATGAAGAGCACCGTCAGCCAGATCTTCCCAATCGCCGTCGAGTGCTCCTGGACCTGGTCCAGCAGCTTCTCCAGGAAGCCCCAGTCCCCCATCTTCTAGGGGACTTGTGCTATTGAGGGCAAGGAGAGGACAAGAGTTAAGGCAACCCGACAGCTTAGCCTTGGCGAGCCAGAGGCAGGGAACACATGAGGATCCGGAAGATGAAGAGCACCGTCAGCCAGATCTTCCCAATCGCCGTCGAGTGCTCCTGGACCTGGTCCAGCAGCTTCTCCAGGAAGCCCCAGTCCCCCATCTTCTAGGGGACTTGTGCTATTGAGGGCAAGGAGAGGACAAGAGTTAAGGCAACCCGACAGCTTAGCCTTGGCGAGCCAGAGGCAGGGAACACACGGAGGAAGCCAGGCAGCAGGCTGGGCAGACACCACAGCCTGCCCACCCCCTCCAGCTCGGGTTTCAGAGCTACAACAGCGCTAAGGACACCCACTGGCAGCTGGCACCGGGTGCTAATAGGCAGGTGGGGCTTCAGCGAGGGATGTGAATTCTTGTTTGTTAACTACAACCAGTTAACTGATTAACCAGGGGGGAAGCCCTACCTGCTATGACCCAGCTGGAACACCCCTGCTGGGCTCTGCCAGGCTGGGGAGGGGGGCAGCTTCAGCCCCCTGCTGGTTAACCATAGCCAGTAAGCATCCCCGGTTAGAGCTATACTTACTGGTTAACCAGTCACATCCCTAGACTGTGGAGCACAAGACCTTCTGCTACCAGTGGCAGCTGGGGGGGGAGTTTGTCCAGCTGGCTCAGTCAGCCCATCAGAGCACAGGGAGCCGGTTACTTCCTGGAAGGCCTGGCAGGGCCATCTCAGGGGTGGAGGGAGTGAGACTGGAGGGGGGTCCCAGGCCCCACAACCTCCTAGAGACGGCTGTGCTAGGCACAGTTGTACCTAGCACACAGCTGTGTAGGGCACCACAAAAATGTGGTGCCCCAAGTTTCCTGGAGCCCAATGCAGCTGCGTATTTTGCTTATGGGCAGGGGCAGCCTTGACTCTGGGCTAGTTCTCAGCCCTGAAAGCTCACTGGGGGGGGAGGGGGGGGGGGGGGGAG